GCTCTTTGTCTCTCGCAGAGGCTTCGGGTTCGTTACGTTCGCGGATCCGGCGAGTGTAGACAAAGTCCTGGCTCAGCCCCACCACGAGCAGGACTCCAAGACGGTAGGTCGTGCGTGGGGCTGCCCGGCTGCCCTTCGTCTGCTGCGGCGGTGACAGGAGACGTTCCAGGGACCGTGCCCTCGCCCCGCGCTTGGCCGCGGCTGCGACTTCGGCCGGTTTTTTGCGGGGCGGTGTCAAGCTGTCATTGAACCGGGACTTCACATGGTTGTTTTTTTCCTTTTTTCCTAGAGTCTGCCTTTAACTTACGAAAAGCGGTAACTTTCTTTTTTTAAATCCGAATTTACCCATACCGACCGATGGCTCCTCCCCCAGCCTTGTATTTTGTTGAGCGGTGACATTGAAAAAATTGTAGAGTAAAATCCAACTTTTTTTGGTGTTCCGCTGCGGAATGCTTTCTGCAGGGAACTTTCTACTTCTTTTGATTGATTATTTATTTATTGGTGCGCGCGTTTCAAGGTGGGAGTGACTTACTGTCAAATCGTAAAAGCTGCTTCCAGTGTCATTTCCCAAAGTCATTTTTTGGTGAGATCCCCCTCACCTGTGATGTCAGGGCCCTTATGAAACGTACGCATTAATTTATGGAAAGCTATGCTAGAGCTTGAGAGTAGATGTGGCAGAGAAGCACAAGTCCTAATCTGTTGTTTCTCCAGGGCTTTTTGCTACGCTCAGCCTCCAGTGGATAACATAAGGAAAATGCTCATGAGATTCAGCTGATCTATTTTTTTTTTTCTTAATAAACATCACATTTACTTTTTTTTTTTTTAATAAATCCCCCCACGTGTAAGTTTGCCCCTTGACCTGGTACAGCTTTTTCAGTATTGGGTCAAACAAAAGGTATCAAGCGTGTGTAGCTTCAGGCCTTGTTTTTCTCCCGGGGATCAAGGCCATGCAAAAGGGTGAAGTTTTCGTGCCTCTTACTTTGTTGCAATTTTAAGCCTCAGCAAACCTGGAAGGGGAGGGGGGGGAAGGACACTGGTAGAGGTCATTACTGCTGTGGTACTGATCGGTCTGAAGGGGGTCGTGTTTTGGGAAGGGAAGGTTCGTGTTGGTTTAACTGTCTGGCAGAGAGCTTCTGCTGGACGTACTGAATGTGTTCATTGCTGTAACTGTCCTTTATAGTATGTATTCTGGATCTTAAAGGCTTTATTTTAACGTGACATGGTGTTAGGAGGAATCCTGTCTCGGTGCTGGAACATCTTGTGTGTGCCTGTGTGTATGAGATTATAGTTAAATGAAGGATAGAAGAAGCAGGGAGCAAACATGAGTGTATGGGTTGTTTTTTGTTTTGTTTTGTTTTTTAAAAATGTAATTTATATGAAAACAAAAAGCCCAAAGCTCTCGTAGAAGCAGGTGGAATCTAGTGTTTTAATTCGACCTACAAATTCTGTTGGGCTTGTCTGAACACGTAGTCCATGCTTTCACATGCCTTAATAATTTGATTTTAGGTTTAATCAGATATGGTAAGATAACTGATTCAACTGTGCTCCTGAGATTAAACTCACCAGACTTTTCATGTACAGCTATATTCTCTATGTGTTTTTAAAGATAAATTTAGATAAGAAGAACAAAGGCAAACAGTGTCTTGAACGAGGGTTTAAAAAAAATAAATCATGGGAGGACACCCTGTCATATTTCTGACTATAATTAGGTCCTCCCCCAGCTTTTTTCCTGTATCACAGTCTAGTCCCTGCAATGTATTAATTTGCTCTTCTCTGGGGGAGGGGTGAAAAGCTTGACCCGGACAAATTTGCCTCAATTTTGATTGTGTGATAATGACTGAATCAATCTAAACAGGAAATCGACCTTAGAATCAGCAACGCAGCTTAAAAGTAAAACATAAAACTAGCCAGGTTCCCTTTCAGCCGTTTATTTGTAGACATATTATAGTAACTGTTCTTTAGTATAACATAGCATTTGACTCTGTTTCAACGTTCAGCACAGGAGGCAGATCGGTTGGGTATTGGCATGGAAACGTCGCTCTTGTTTACAGTTACGTTAAAAGCTTTGTTTAGGTAATGGCCATTCATATCAGAAATAGTATTATAGTCATTTCCTAGAGGACTTGTAGATACAGTAAGTAGAATTGTACCTAACTAACTAATTTTTTTTTGGTAGAAGTTTTTTTTTTGTTTGTTTGTTTGTTGTTTAAATAGCTGACAGGGATATGCAAAAGGTATGGATTTGCCATGTTGATTACTAGTGTTCATCTTCAAATGCTGATGGTGTTTATCCAAAAGGTTTTGTGAAGGAAAATGCAGTTATTTAAGAAGGGCTGTCGCTGTGGTGCAAAGAACTCCATGCTCTTTGAACTGACCTTCAAAAATGAATGTGTTGCTTTAGAGTTTTTAATGGCTCTTCCAACTTTTTACCAGTGGGACTTTGCAGCGATGTCCTTCTGGTGGGACTGGTGCTCTTTGTTGAGAAAACTTTCACTTCTGAAGCAAATGTAGAAACGTGCATGTCTGCCTCCACCTTTGGGTATTGCTGTGGAAAATCCGTACCTGTTGTATTTCCCCGGTAGACAAATGCCTAGTCAGTGCTGAATATATTTGTAGATAATGTTAATCTCTATGAAAAGGTTAGCTTTCTAGATAAAGAATTTTACTTTTTATGCTTTTTGAACAATAAAGTGGCATGTAATCGCTCATTTCTCAGGTATGTCCTAAAAAAGATACTACATTTGTATCTGATGTAGACAAATCAGTTTATCAGTCGCACATCAAATGTTTGTGTTATTTCCAATTTTGACAAATTAATTGAGTAAAACTGCTTTTTAGGAGAGGCCCGTGTTTTTTTTAATCAGTGACAGGAATATTTATCACCACAGGAATAACAATACCAAATGGAAACATCTCCTTTCCCTAATCAGGGTTAGCTTGAGGGAGGGAAAAACCCAACAAAAACCAAACCCAGGCTGTTAAAGAAAGCCTCTACTTCTAAATGTGCCTTAACACGATCAGGATTAGTTTCGTCAGTTTGTTATGTAGTCAAAGACCACACTGAAAGCAGTCGCAAGTTGCACAGTTAAGGTAGGATTTAGTCCTTTAAAAAAAATCCTTTTCCAGACTCTCTATTTAGAATGTGTCTGTGTGCAGATGCTGCGAAAAAACAGAGGTGAAATCAGCAGCGCGTAGACATTTTATTGGAATCATTTTTAAAGATGACAATTTAAGATGGGCAGTTGTTTAAAAGGTACGATTTTTTTTATTTACATCCAGCCATGCATCTGCGGTGGTGTCATTTTGTTGTTAAGTGATTTTTTTGAATGGTAGAGAAGAGTCGCTTTTTAAAGATGACCCATGTGGAAGTTGTTTTTAAAATTGCAGAATTAGCATTTTGGAATTGCAGAGTGGACACGCTTTCTATTTTATGCAGTGCAATGGGAGTCAATGCTGCATCTTAAAACAAGGGAGCATGGGGTAAAACACTTTTTTTTTTTTTTCCTTTTTTTTCTCTGTGGTAGCGTGCTTCATTCAAGAATACTTTAGGTAACTCCTTCATGGAAAATCTTTTTTAAGAACTTGGTTTCTTCTGGTTTAAAATGCCTGTATGTTTCGTTTGTGCCTTGCTCTCCCCTCTTACCCCCCCTTCCCATAAATGCCCCTTTGTAGTCTTTCATTGCTCACATATGTTCTTTGAGGGTGAGCAAACCAGATCAATTTGGCATGTTGTTATGAAGGATAATCTTGTAGTCCTTCTAATGTTTTAGTTTTAATAACTGAAATGTAAATAACTTGACTTTGTGTTTTGCATTTCTTTTTTTGTGTAGTGTTGCTAGTCAGTTGACAAAACAAAGCAGAAAAATAGAAGAAAAACAAAGTAACCCAAAACCCAACTGAAGGAAGGTGCAGGTGTCAAAAACAACAGGTTAAGATCTTGATCAGGAATGCTGGCCGTCTTTCTGTGCAACCTCCAGAGTGTGCAGATAACGTTTAACGTGCAGTTTTGGTTGTAGAGGCAGCATCCAGAGGCTAATACAGAGCTCCCTGAGCACCAGCGGAGATTGTCGCCCAGAAGATGATGCAGGAGGTGTACAGAAGAGATGTTTTCTTTCTTTCTTCCCGTCTCGCTCCCCCTGCCAAAAAAACCCCAGACTGTGATCCATCAGTTCCAGAGTAGATCCAGATAACCCGATGTGCTGAATTATAAGCCTGAGAAATGAGGGATTAATAATTCAGTGATTTAAAAAAAAAAAGTATATAAATTGACAACAAAAGCTATCTTGTTGATTTCCCCTTTCTTTTTCCTCAGATTGACCCTAAAGTTGCATTTCCCCGACGAGCACAGCCTAAGGTAAGTAGGAGGATCGATAATAGGATTTTAGGCACACAGAGAATCATTGTTGCCAGGCAGTTCAGGTTTCAAACAGGGAATTGGCAATGAAAGCTTTTAAAGCCGGAGTGCATGGCGTCTTAAGGGTATCAGCGTATGGCTGTGAAACTACAGGAGAGCTGCTTTGTGCGATATTACGTGTCTCCAGTTTAACTGTCTCCTTGCAGAGTCCCGGTCAGTTGCGGCTGGCTGAAAGGCAAAGACTTCTCTAGTTCTGGTGGGAGATTGTTGCTGCATTACTTGCGTTTGTTATGCTATTTTACGCAATATGTTTTGCATGGTGTTTATGAAGAGCATTTGGATTAAGTGCAGACTTCAGGCTTGTTTTGAGCTGAGCTTTCAGTTCTGTGGTTGTGATGGATGGGAATATATCTCTGCCTTCATTGTTTGCAAATTTTCTTTTGTATAACTTCAGAGATGTGTTTGGAGACTAATAAGCATTGGATAGCAAGTTTCTGATGAAGCTCTGAACTCTTCAGGCCATGGGGTATTCTTTTGCAAGAACAGTGAAACAATGAGCTTTAAGTCCCTTAGCCGATCAGGCTGGCTGGAGAAGTGACCTTCTTCTTCCAGGGCACTCTTGCTATAGTGTGGCCAGTTTCCATGTTGGGACAAAGACGCTGTAGCTATGTGCACAGGAACTTCTGTCTGCATGCTTGCTCTGAAATACCGCTGGGTGCCTTTTCTTCTGGAGGAGTTGCTTATGGAATAGAAGTGGTTGTTGCTCTTTAGGCTGTGCCTAACGAAAACAACAGATCAGTTTCAAATCCAAATGTGCAGTCAGTTGTATTTGAATTTTGAAAAACAGAGGCTGAAAGAAAACTTGTAATTGACGTTTTTCTTTTTTTATTTGTTTTTGAGAGTCTACTGGAAGAACTTAATTTAGCTGGTGTATGCCACTTGTATACACTCTAATCATCTTGGGTTACTTCAGTATTGTGTTAAAAAATGGAAAGACAAGGCTGCAAAGTTGTGGATGCAAGTCAATAAGGAAAAGTGGTTTAAAGTTGGTGGCAGGAGACTACCTGAACAGGTTCAGCCTAACCATTTTATTGCATATAGCTCCTCATGAAAGCAAGCAGTTTAATGGCGTGTGGAACCATAATGTTAAATATTGTACAAAACATTCATCTAGGAAAAACGACGTGTAATTTAAAAACCCTAGGCATATAGCAGGAGAGGCGCTAGTGATTTCTTTAAAAGAAAAAAAAAAAAAGAGAACAAAACCCAACAGCCTGCTTGCAGAATTTTAAACCAAACTAATGTAGTCAAATATTTAGAGGTTCTTTTCTTCATAGGACATGTCTAATAACTAATTAGTGAATAATGGTGTGCCGGCTTGCTTCTGCGCTAAGCAAAGAGTTTATGGTTTGTAGCGTTTGTGGCTTCTGGATTATATTATTGGATTAATGCTGTCTTTAAGATATAATTTAAAGTTATCAGAATTCTGACAGGTTTCATAATTAAAGTATGAAGATGATCTTGCACTGTGACTGATGTTCCATTCTCCCTTCCCAATACCTTTTAAAGGCTTATTTACATTTTAAACTGTCTTCAATTACCAGTTATCTGTTTCTACAGTGTTATTTGTAAAAGTTTATAACGCTTACAACAGAGCTGTTAAGCTGTCCCATGTGATTCCTTCTATAACAATTAAAAAAAACAGGGCATGTCTTATGCCAAGGATATTAGTGAATGAAATTTTCATGTTAATGCAAAATCAGGTCATTTTTACAAAGGGGATTTTGTTTTTCTCCATGTGGGGTGTGGGGTATTTTTTGTTTTGTTTGTTTTTTGTTTGTTTGTTTTTGGTAACAGACGTCTTTCAAGTGTGGGGCAAATCCTAAAACGTACACTGGATGCCACTCTTAGCAGGAACTTGCTCTCTCTGGAGAGATCAGCAGTGTCTGTTTCTGCTTTTGACACACTTGTCCTTTCTAAAGTGTTGGGATTTCTACAGCGCATTTGAAAAAAATCTTAAGATTGAAAGGAGCCTTATCAGGAAATTGGAGAAAATCAGATGCAATAAAGAACAGATTTTACATCAATTATGATGTATTATTCTGGACTGCGTTTCATAATCTTGATTTTTTTGTTTTCTGTTTTCTAATTAGATACCGAATTAAGGTTTTGGACTTCAGTTGTTCATTTGTCCCAGTTGAATACCGAATGCTCAGTGTTAAAATGTGACTGTACTTTAGTCTAATTAACTAGCTAATGCTTGGGTCTGTGGAGATTAATGACATTTAATGAAATGTCTCTGTCTCTCTCTAGGTTCGAGGGGAAATTTTTTCTTCCCCGAGTAGTCTTCCTTCCTGGTGTGTTTAGCAAAATGCAGATTGAGCTTTTTTCAGTGGTCTTCCTGGCTTCCCACCCTGACAGTGACTGGGTGCTAAAGTGGAAGCAAGGCTGCGGGCGCCTTCCCCCTTCTTGTGCAGGCAGACCTTCTGGCAGCGCTTCCCTCCATCCATCCCCTTCCTTCAGAGCCCTTTTGACCTGCCTCTGCACGATTAACTCCTCAGTGGGCAGCGGCTGCGCTGGTTCTCAGGCTGCATTTGCCTCCTTTGCCAGATCACATGCTTGCTGTGGTCTGCGGGGTCACGCTCGCTTATTTGTGTGCGCACAATAATTTGTGCTCATTCCTTCTCCGCTTCTGATTCACTTTAATTGGCTAGTCTTCCCCTTTCAAACTGTAGCCCAGTAAAATGCTTTCTTCTGGGCTTTTTTAACTGCATCTCCATGATTTGACACCTCTCTGGTGATGCAAATTGGTTACTGAGCAAGAAGTGGCAGGTTGTAACAGCAGAGCATTCTTCCCTGATTTTTTTAGAATGACCCTCGCAGAAAATCCTCGGTGATTGCCTCCAGTGGATTACGCCATGATGGGTAATCCTGCTCTCCTTGTGAAGTCCAGGATGACTTGAAGCCATTGTTTTAGGAAATTTGCTGCAGGGGTTTAACTTGTTGAGGTTCTGCTATATAGCTAACAGCGAGATGAAAAGAATATACGTATGCTTTCTTGCGGCTGCTGTTCCTTGATAAAAATCTGTCTTGCTTCCAAGTGCTGGAAGGCACTCTGTAACAGTTGATCATTTATAACTCTGCTGACTTAAAAATCCTTAAAAACCAGCAGTGATGGGGGGGGGAGGTAGTAGTTTTGTACCCCCTTTTGAATACTGAAGACTACAATAATTTGACTTTTTAATATACACAGCCTGTCAGTTCTGACATTACCTGCTGTAGTAGGTTGGAGAAGCTTTATCAAATTTAGCATGTTCATTAGATATTTTCAAATGTAAGCAATTTCTACCCTCACCCCCCTGCCTTGGGGATTTATTTAAAAAACAAAACAAAACAAACCTGAAGAGCAAAAGGACAGCAGCTTCAGTCCATGAAGAACCTCCTTGGCCATGAAAATATCTTTGTGTGACTTACTGGTATAGAAATCTGGATGCTTTGTTGTGCAAAGCCATGTATGAAACAGAGACAGATAAAAACTTCAGTCCAAGTTTACGGTTATCGAGGCTACCCACTGATTTGTATTTTGTGCTCAGGTTCCTCCAGGATGGGACCGAGGTGCCTGTTCTTCCCGGCACTTACTACAGGGGCATAACGCATATGGTTGGGAATTGCTCCGGCAAGTCAACAAGCTGGAACTACTAGCATTCGGTGGCATTCATTAGCATGTGACCTGCTGACTATAGTCTCTATGCATCCTCTTCAGCAGCTGTTAAATAAAAAAGGGAAGCCAACTATTGCTGCTAGCTACTGGAGCTGCTCCTGTAGCTTGGTGGCGTGGGCTGGGTGCTGGATGTCCAGCGTCCTGTCTGCTGATGAGCCAGAGCAGAGGTGGTGGTTGTCAAGATTGCATATTTTAATTTGGGATCTAATCTACGTGGGTTGGGTACAATATTCTGGTGACCATTCGGTCACAAAATAGCAAAAGGTCTTTATTTGGTGAGGGAAGCCTTTTGTTTGATAGTCAGATGGTGATGCTGAATACCGATGTTTTCGTTAGATGTATTGTACTCTAACAGAGGACAGTGCAGGACCGATAACTGGTTCTGGCATCTCTGCTCCAGTCAGTCAGTGTATCTGCAAACTGTGCGTACCTTGTCTGTGGACTAGCTGGTTTCCTGTCTGGCCGGGCACACGGACTTTTAAGAGGTGCAGTTGTGCACATCTGTTCCTCCTTCTTTGGCGAAAAACAGAGTGTCAACAGCTCTCCTTTCATTTGAGTTGCCCCTGGTTAAACCCACGTGAAGCTGGCTATTCCACAGCAGCAAATGGAGGGCATGCCCTTTTGGAATAACACCCAGGCTAACCTGGGATATTTTTTTTTTAAAGCTAACCAGTGGATTTGGATGTCTGATTCCAATTAAGTTAACTGTGGGTGGGGTGTCTGCGTCCCTTGGCTGCCTGATCAGTGTGAGTAGCAGAGAGAGATTTCATTCCAAAGCAAATGATAGACCTTGAAAATCAAGAGTTCTGTTGTTTGTTTCCTCCCCTGCTTCTGCCTGTAAACTCCTCCAGGTTAGTCCCACTACTTCCCATCTTATTTTAAGTATTGGGTGGACTTTGAAGTCTTTTTCAAAAGAATGTGAACTGAACACACTAGCAGAACTCAGGATTCTTCCTTTCCTGCCACCCTTCCTTCCCCACCAGGCTGTAAAGAGCAGCAAGGTCAGGCCTTTTCCCTATGTTTTTTCTTTTTTCTTTTTTCTTTTTTTTTTTTAAAATTCCCCTGCAGGTCTGGATAGAGTACGAGAGGAAGTATTTCCTGCTCTTGGCATTGGGCATAGATGTGTACCTTAATAATGTCGCTGTATCTTCTGCATACAGAGTAATATGAAGTACTTACCAGATGGTATGAGAGATTTCTTTTTGTGATTGATGTCCAGTGTTCAGGTACCCTGTTCAGGCAGCCTTGACATAGATCCCTTGTCCAGGGTAAGCTGCTC